CTCTGGGATTGCAGTGCAACTTCTTGCCACTAGGCCACCAGAGCTCCCAGACAGTTCTGGTTTCTTTAGGATATATTCCCAGTAGTAGGGTTGCTGTGTCAAATGGTATTTCTATTTCCAGCTTTTTGAGAAGGTACCATACTGCCTTCCTTAGTGGTTGCGCCATTTTACACTCCCACCAACAGTGAGAAAGGACTCCAATTTCTCCATAACCTCACCAGTATTTGTTTGTTGCTCTGTTGGATTTTGCTATTGTTACTGGGGTGAGATGATATCTCAGTTGTTTTGATTTCTATCTCTCTTAGAGCTAGGGATTTTGAACATTTCATCATGTGTTTGTTGGCCATCTGAATTTCTTCTCTGGTGAACGTTCTGTTCATATCTTGTACCCATTTTGTGATTAGATTGTTTGCCTTTATCTTGTAGAGGTGCTTTTTCTTTAAAAAAATATGTACATATATTTTCTAAATTATCAGAGCACTGTTTTTTGCTGTGTCCAAAGGCTTTAGTATGTTTTGCTTTCACTGTTGTTTGATCTATAAATATTTTCATTTCATTATAAATTTCTTCTATTATCCAATTACTTCTAAGTAACGTGTTACTTAGTTTTGATATATTTAGGGGTTTTTTTCTTCTTTCTATTGTTGGTTTATAGTTCATAACATTTTTGTCAAAAAAGATGTTTTGTATTATTTTGATGTTTTTCAGTGTATTGAGGCTTGCTTTGTGGGCCCATATATGGTCTATTTTGGAGAATAATCCACATACTTTAAAACAGAAGATGTCCTGTGCTTTTGTTGGGTGGTATGAGATCAAGCTGGTTGGTTGCATTACTGGTCACATGTAGCTCTTGAGCACTTATAAGTGACAAGTGCAACTGAGGATATGAATTTATTTTACTTTGTTTTATTAATTTACATAGCCACATCCAACTAGCTGCAACCATATTTAGCAGCAATGTTTTAGATTAATCTACTAATAATTTTAACTCATTCTTCATGCTCTCTTCCCCACACTCACACCCACCCATTCATACTGAGAAGGGATTTCTGAAAATGACAAATCCATTTTGAGCATGGAAAGTCTGCACTTACTGAATTACCTCCACCTCCTAAGGAAATAAAATAGTTCATAGCTCCTCTCTGGTTTTTTTTGTAGCTGTCTCATTATCGAGAGCACTTGAACATTCAGGACCCTGAGAAACGAAAAGATTTTCTTAAGACCTGCATTGGGTAAGTGTGGAGGAGAGGTGGAAATACATTTATATAGAAAGAATAAAAAAGAATGGCGTGCATAATGAATTACAAAGCATCATTAAAGGTTGTCTCATTCACTTATATTCAGTTTATAAAGCTTCATTAAAAGTTGTCCCAAACACTAGTCCCTAAACAGAATTTTCACAATTTTTTTATAAAGCTCATTTCTTTCTTTACCTTGAGAGATTTCTCTTTTATTCTGACATTTCCACTCTTTGGTAGTAAAAAATGGGTTGGGTTTTTTGGTTTGTTTTTTTTTAAATGACCTTAACAAAGTAAAATTAAAAAGCTAGCAACACTTTTTGGACATATGTAAATTTTAAAATGTTTTTGGTCCTTGAAATCTCAAAATCCAGGAGCCACTATGCTAGGGCATGCTTTCACCCAGAATATGAATCCCTATAAAAACCAGCCCTTTGTGTTATTATCCTTCCTGTGAAACAACTTTTTTATGATTTAAGAACTTTCCTTTTTGGAAAGTGTGTCTACTCTCTGTATTGACATCAAATAAATTGAATTTCTCTTCAATGTGCCAGTATTTGAAGGCAGCAATAAAGTGTCTCCGGTACACCTTGCTTCTTCAAGTTCAGTTTTCACAGTTACTTCAGTCCATTTTCATGTGACATAATTTTGGGGCTTCAATTTGGATATTTGTATTAATGAAATCCTCAGTTCTGATGTTATAAAATACTGGGCCTTAAGACATGACCTCTGGTAAACCACTTTAGAATCATAATTGGAAGAGTGAGGTAACTGGAACCTTTTATTTTCTTTATTTCTTCTAAAAATTGGCTGTGTATTACTCTTGTATAGGGTAGTGTAGATGACTTTCAGAATTTCCCTAAGAGTTACATGAGGGAATAAGGCAGCATTTTCTAAAGGCTAGATCTGTGAACTAGAAATTTAACATCCAACTTCTATTCCTGGGCTTACCTATGGACTTCCATATGACTTATAGGTAAGCCGCTGTTTGTTCCTCAACTTTTCTGTTTGTGGAAGTGTTGAAGATGGGACTCTTGACATTTGTATAGATCTTTAGCACCAGACATGTATGTAGTTTCATTTCTCTGCAATAAAAAAAAGACTAAGAAATAGAAATGGCCCTTAAGGAGAGTTCCTTAACACGTTGCCACACACTTTTAAATTGAGACTATGCTTAGAAACACATTTTTTAACCGTCTTTTGCGGCAACGTGTAAGCAGTGACATGAATGACAGAGTTCCGCTGGGATCTGGATAATGGAAGCTCACTCCCTAGTCATATAACTCTTTGACAAAATATTTTAGCTTCCCAAAGAGAGGAATCTTAAGTCAAAATCACCAATGACCCCTCTTAAGTGGACAAAATCTTAACTATGAAACCCACACCAAAGGTCTAGTGCTTGCCTGCCTGCCCTTCAGGGTTGCTCTGAGGGTGACCTGATACCAGCTTTGGGAAGCACCATAAGCCCCTTAAGCGTTCCTCATGGTTTGTCTTAGTTGGGGTTGTTTCCTCTTTGAGTAGAGAACGTTACTAACCTCTGGCCTTCTACCAGTTTGCCATTTTCAGCAGAAGATTGTGCACACGTACAAGACCATTACACACTTCTGGAACGTCAGATCATCATCGAGGTTAGAATTTTCTCTGTATTTTTGCCTTCATAGATTGCTACCATGTAGTGCCATCCGGTCCCTAGGAGACGTTATGCTCTGCCTGTATATTTTCATTTCCCATTGCACTCTCTAAAAGGCTTTTATTTTCTCTTTTCCTCATTTTCTTTAGGCAAGATTTTTCCTTCTCACTTGTGTTAACCTGGAATTATTTCCTCTTATCCTGATCTCCACGTCATAACTACTTCTCCAGCCCTTGGCCATCCAAACTGTGTTATCCTCCATCACCTTAGTTTGAGTTTTTCTGGGTCATCTTACCAGGAGCCCTGTTAGCACAGGGTTTAATCACTTGGTTCCTATTTGAAAGGTTGGCAGCTTGCACCCACCATCCCCTCACTTGCCACTCTGTAGGAGAAAAGATGCTGCATTTGGATTCTGTAAATATCACAAACTTAGAAACCCTCCAAGGCAGGTCTACTCTGTCTTACACAGATGATGATCACACTATGAGTTAGAGTCAGTTCAGTGGCAGCAAGTGTTTTGGGACTATCTCAGGCATTTTCTTATTCTAATCTTTGCTTCGATCCTTGGGAGGGAATAAAACTCCCCTACTATACTACTAAACTTTTCTCCCCTGCCTCTACCCATAAATGTCATTCTTTCTCTTTTGCTTGCCTCACTTCCTCACAGGCAATTGATCAGAATCTGGAATCGGCGGGACAGACTGAGATCTTCCGGAAGCATCCCCGCAAAGCATCCATCCTCAACATGCCCCTCGTGACAACGCTCTTCTATTCGTGTTTCTACCACTACACGGAGGCTGAGGTACAGCCAGATTGTAAAGTCAGAGCCTTCGAATTCCTGTTGCACAGGAGGAGTGTAGTTCACATGCAGTATTTTTTTTTATTAAATTTTATTAGTTTTAATGAACATTTACAGAGATTTTTGGGTTTTCATTCATTCATTGTTGCACTGTTTTCTCCACCCTCATCCCCAGTTCGTTCTTCTTTCCCCCGCCCCCCAATGTCTGTTTTAATTG